TGGAACCAGTTTTGTATCTTTGTTAGTAAGGATTATTATGAAGTTTCGAAATCCAAAATATATATGGTAGTTCAAATTTTGGTTTCTTCGGGATATTAAAAATATTCAAAACTGATATACGATTTGGAAGAATTTATTTCTTAGAAAGGGAACTATGGGTATAATTTTTGCCACTTGTACAAGTAAATTGTTAAAATGAATTTTAAAAAAATGCTCGATTGTATATTGATTTCCATGACTACACTTACAACTAGGTTAGATACTAAAAGGACTCCTTACATTCGCAAAAGAACATTATGGGCATGAAGGATTCCCTATATTATTTATATAGTCGTTGCAATTAAATATAAGAAGGTTGTGCCTAATTTCAGGTTGAAGAATTCTCATTGACTACTTAATGGAGCGAGAAATTTTTTCCAGAAATTTATAAAATCCTACTTGACAGAATAGGATGGTTACGAGAATGAAAATATTTAATGAACAAGAGGCCCATGGGCCACATTGCTCACCTGAGAAGCTTTGACCATTCTGTTCAAATTTCAATTTTCCCGTTGTAATACATAATGCATTCCCACCCTACCCCACTGATCATAATTTAGACATTTTGATTTCTACACTACCCCAGGATCTTTCCATGTGCACATAAGTTTCAGCTTTTCTGGCCCAGTGGTTCTTGAGAAGAAGATTTTCAAAGATTTTTCCTATATATTTCTATGTAAAACTTTGATTCCCAATTGTGGCCCCGCCATTCCCCCGGGGTCATCATTTTTATAATTTAGAATCTACACTACCCCAGGATGCTTCCACATAAGTTTCAGCTTTTCTGGCCCAGTGGTTCTTGAGAAGAAGATTTTCAAAGATTTTTCCTATATATTTTTATGTAAAACTTTGATTCCCCATTGTGGCCCCGCCCTTCCCCCGGGGTCATGATTTGAACAATTTAGAATCTACACTACCCCAAGATGCTTGCACATAAGTTTCAGCTTTTCTGGCCCAGTGGTTCTTGAGAAAAAGATTTTAAAGGATTTTTCCTATATATTTCTATGTAAAACTTTGATTCCCCATTGTGACCCCGCCCTTTCCCCGGGGGTCATGATTTGAACAATTTAGCATCTACACTACCCCAGGATGCTTCCATATAAGTTTCAGCTTTTCTGACCCAGTGGTTCTTGAGAAGAAGATTTTTTAATGACCCCACCCTATTTTTGTCTTTTCTTGATTATCTCCCCTTGTGAGGGGACTTGGCCCTTTATTTGAACACTTTAAATTCCACTTTACCCAAGGATGCTTTGTACCAAGTTTGGTCAAAATTGGCCCAGTGGTTTTTTGAGAAGGAGTCGAAAATGTGAAAAGTTTACAGACGGACAGACAGACAGACGGACGGACAGACAGACAGACACACATTATATATTGGGTATATCAAGTCCAAGTCCTATTGGATACTGCTTATTGGATACAAAAAAGTGTACATACGAGAGAGCATTATTTGGGTAGTAACTGTTCAAATCTTATTGGATATAATTCCCAATGTCCATATTTTATTGGGTTTTTCTTATTATTCTTCATTCATTTTCAAATTTATTATATTTTCATTGCTTGCTGGTAAATTCAGACAAGACTGAAAACCTTTGGGTTTGAACACACAATTTTGTCAATTTCTATGATACCTTTTTATTGTAACCCCTACATCGTTCTTAGCAATTAAGATATATATTTTTAAAAAATACCTTATATTGAAATAGATAAATGCCTAAATTCAGTAAACTGAATTCTCAATACATCTCAGATTATGTTCAACCTTTCTTGATTACCATAAACAAGTATTTGAGTAGAAACCTTTTTTAAGTCATGTCCAATAGAAAATAAGAAAATTGGAAAATGTCACGTCATGGCAAATTGCATGTTGAGTGGAATGAATGTATCCAAGAGGAATTGGACAGGTGTCCAATACCTGCTGGGTTGTATTCTGATGAAGTGATTAAAGTTACCCAAGAATAATTGGACATGTATATATAAACTCTTTGGTGGGATATAGGACCCAACAGGTATTAGACATCTGTCCAACTCCTCTTGGATATCTACATCCCACCCAAAAAGTAAAGGACACTTGTCCAATTTTTGTTGGGTTTCTTGAATTGCTTCATCAAAATACAACCCAACAGGTAATGGACACCTCTCCAACTCTTCTTGGATATCTACATCCCACCCAACAAGTGATGGACACTTGTTCATTTCTTCTTGGGTTTCTTGAATCTCAGTAACAGTATACAACCCAACAGGTAATGAACACCTGTCCAACTCTTCTTGGATATCTACATCCCACCCAAAAGATGATGGACACTTGTCCAATTCTTTTTGGGTTTCTTGAATTGCTTTATCAGAATACAACCCAACAGGTAATAGACACCTGTCCACTCTTTTTGAATATCTACATCCCACCCAACAGTTGATGGACACTCGTCCAATTCTTCTTGGGTTTCTTGAATTGCTTCATCAGAATACAAACCAACAGGTAATGGAACTTGTCCAATTCTTCTTGGGTTTCTTGAATTGCCTTATCAGAATACAACCTAACAGGTAATGGACACCTGTCCACTCTTCTTGGGTATCTAAATCCCACGCAACAGTGATGGATACTTGTCCAATTCTTCTTGGGTTTCTTGAATTGCTTCTCAGAATACCACCCAACAGTTAATGGACACCTGTCAAACTCTTCTTGGATATCTACATCCCACCCAACAGGTGACGGACACTTGTCCAATTCTTCTTAGGTTTCTTGAATTGCTTCATCAGAATACAACCCAATAGGTAATGAACACCTGTCCAACTTCTCTTGGATACCCTAAAATCTTGAAAATAAGCCGCGGCTTATTTTAAATTTTGTAAGAAAGTGGGGGCTTATTTTCAAAACCGTCTTATTTTCAAATCTCGGCTAATTATCAAAACAGAAAGTTGGTAAGCAACGAGAACATAATTATGACATTTTATCAATAAAGTAAATGGTAATCGATAGATTGAGAAGTACTTGCTCGTTCTAAAAATAGAATATCCAGGTACAATTCCGCAAGAGTTAAATGAATAGTGATTACGGTGCATCCGACCTAACAGGACACTTGTCCAATTCTTCTTGTGTTTCTTGAATTGTTTCATTAGAATACAACCCAACAGGTAAATGGACACTTGTCCAATTCTTCTTGGGTTTTTTGCATTGTTTCATTAGAATACAACCCAACGGGTAATGGACACCTGTTCAACTCCTATTGGATACCTGCAACCCATTCAACATGTTCTGAACACTTGTCCAGTTCTTCTTGGGTTACTTAAATCTCATCATCAGAATACATCAAAACAGGTGTCAAAACACTGTCCAATTCTTCTTGGATACCTACATCCTACCCAACAGGTAATGGACACTTGTCCAATTCTTCAGGGTTTTCTTTTTTCCCTTCATCAGCATGCAACCAGGTATGAGACAACAGACATGGGCCCAACTCCTTTTGAATACCTTCATCCGACCCAACAGGAAATAGAAATGTGTCCAATTCTTTTTGGTTAACTTGAATCTCCTCATCATAATACAACCCAACAGGTAATGGACACTTGTCCAATTCTTCTTGGGTTTCCTTAATCTCCTTATCAGAATACAACCCAACAGGTAATTGACACCTGTCCAACTCTTCTTGGATATATTCATTCCTTCAATGGTATACAAACTAAGAGGTATTGGACATGCATTTGTCCACTTCTTCTTGGGTTACTTAAAATCTTTTCATAAAAAACCCAATAGGTATTGGATATCTGTCAAACTCCTCTTGGATGTTTCATTCCGTCATTAGAATAAATCCAAACAGGTAATGTTTACTTGTCCAATACTTCTTGGGTAACGTATACCCTTCATTAAAATCACCCTCCCCCAAAAGGTTCTTGGACACATTTGTAATTGTCAAATTTGTCATGCATTAGACTGCAAACCCAATAGGTATGACATTTGTCTCTCCCTTGTTGAATTCATATTTATCTGCATAAGCATACGAAAGTCCAAAACATTTTGAATACTTTAATTCTAACATTCAACATCTCATTCAGTGTACAATTTACAAATGATAAGAAGATATAAGCATTTTGTGCTGGCTGTAAACATAATCATTTTTATAACCATGATTGTAAAATTTAAGTATTGCAACTTGGCATCAAGTATAACTCATTACAGGTAGAGCAAGATAGTGAAAAGATTTCTTCCCTGAACCTTCATTTTATCTATGATGAAATACACTGTATCTGTTAGTAAGTAAGTACCGGTACCAAAAAATTAAACTTAAAAACCACATTGCTACATAGATAAACAGATCACACCCTTGAGTAAATATTTTCCTTCAGTTGCTCAGATTGTGTTCTATTATATGAAAAAGAAAAATCTTGAACCGATTATATAAGCCTGTAAATATTATTTTAAAAAGCCTGTTTATTACAGATACATGTACAATGCATATTTTCCCTGTAATAAAAAACTTCTAATATTTAAGGAATGAATATAATATTCACCGATGTTAAAAGATATTACATATACCTCATTAACCTGGGTTGGAAATCACAACTATTTTTTTCAGCCAATAAAACAGTGTGTTGCACCAGAAACTTAACTTTTCATCGTTAACTTAAACTCAGTTACAAGTACAATGAATGAAATGCTTTATACAAAAAGTAAAAAAAATTACGCACTATGCCACTATGTAAAAATCTGTTCGACAAATTGAAATCAAGATCTTCAATCAAATACTCACTGTACTTAGTCTTAGAGCAAGAGAAAGGTCATTACATGCCAAAATTTTACAGGTAGAGCTTTAATCCTATATCACAATAAATGTCAAAATGATTTTTATTTTTGTTTCTGTTCCATGCTTTTACAGGTAGAGCTTTAATCCTATATCACAATAAATGTCAAAATGATTTTTGTTTTTGTTTCTGTTCCATGCTGTCTTCTTCAGTGTCTCCCATGGCCTATACTGTATGATACCTCCATTAACCCTGCTCTTTTATATTGCAATATTGCTATCTTGTCTTCCAGGAGTAGTGGTTGTATTCAGGCATTCTTTAAAATATTCCTCATTTCATGCATCTCCTTCAGTTCTGCTTTTGTCCATTTTATTCCTTCTGCAATTAGATAACGATATTTCTAGTCCTTATAAAATGTGTTTTACTTGGCCACAGCAAAATCACCATTTATGTTGATCAAACCCAACCAAGAAGGAGAAATATATTTTTTATTCACAAATATGCATTGATAAATAAAATAGAAAATGCAAAATGTTATCAACTCTTTCTCTCTCTCTTCAATGTCTAATTGCATCTTCATCCTTACCCCCCCCCCCCCCCCTCCATAATTTTAGCAAACTGGAATCACAATTCAACACACAAAAAGATGCTGCATATTTATTAAACGGTTTTTTAGAATTTTTATTCTTAAGAAAGATATTTTCAAAAGGATTCTAAACCTATTCAATTGAAATTTAGACTTCTAATATAACACTATCGGTACAATAGGGGGCTCTTAAATCTCTACACTACATGACAAATCTTTCACATTATTACTGTATTTAGCCCAATGGTTCTACTAAAGAGGATTTCAAATTGACCCAAACCTTAATTAGTACTTTCATATTATATTGGCATGGACAGAGACACACTTCACACCCCCCCCCCCCCAAGCCCCTTCCTGAATGATGCTTTGCATAAAGTCTAATTAAAATTTACCAAGCTGGATAGAACTTGAAAATATGAAAAATTTTAGTAAAGGAAAGATATGGAGATAACGAACAGTATTCAATCTCAAAGCCCATAAAACAATACAAAATAGGAGCAGACCAAACACGGACCTCTGAAACATAAGGGGTGGAATTAGGTGTCATGGAAGAGTGAGCATCCCCTGCTGACCGGTCACACCTGCCGTGTGCTCCTTATCATGATCAGTGAATAATGGAAAATCCGTCGTCAATTCTGTGTACAAATAATGGACTAACAATTAGTATGAAAAACGTCAGTCAGCATTTGACTGACCGGTAATGATAAATTGTATTTGCTGACAAGGTCATTGTATCTACCATAGAACTTACGAAATCTGGCAAAAGTAAAGGACATCAAAAGATACACTACAAAAAATATATACTAAGGAAATTTATCAAAGTGAACATGAAGACTACAGAGGTTTTTTGTACTAGCATGACATTAACAATAGCTTTCGGGCATTCAGATGGTGGTTTCCTAGAAATTATGTACATGCTCTGCTGTTCCCCCCTCTCTCTCTCTTTCTCCTCTAATTGAAGAAGACGAAAATGTCTCTAAAAATCTTATGAATGATTGGCATGAACTATTCCTGATTTTTTTTTTATTGATTACTTACAACTGTCCAATTCCTGAGGGGCATCTTCTTCTGTGTTTTCTGCAATGTTCACACCTGAAGTTCCTGTTTGACCTGTTATATATTGAAAATCGTTTAATCCTTAACTAAACATAATTATGGTTAAAAATTCCATTGCAATCATTGGTAACTTCAATAAAAGTTCAATAAAAAAATCTAATCCAATTTATTGTAACATAAGTTGGGAAAAATATTTATTAAATATCATGAAGGAAAAATGAATCTTTATATCCAAGTATCCTAAAATCACAAGCAAGCATTAATCATATAAATTCACATATGTAAACCTTAGCTCTTTGTGCTATTAAATCATATTCAGGGGTGTGCAATTAAAAAATTCATGTACTAGTCAACAGCCTGGTGGCAGCAATAAAGTCACTATCCCAGATAAAAAGTTACTAACCTAAATATAGAAGCAAAAATTAAAAAGTAATATGAAAAAAAAAAGTTAATAGTGAAAAAGTCAGGGTAATCACTAAAGGTAATTCTTTTTAAAATCAATTTTTAATTTAAGCACGTAAAATTTAATTACATATTAATTAATGATTATGATAGGAATGAAATTTTTTTAAAAAATCTTTCTTTATCTATCATTCACTAGCTCATCTGAAATGAAGCAAAATTTATTTTGTTTTTATCTGAAATCATTAAAAACACTGCAAATATAATTTGATTTAATTGCATGACACTTATCTTTCAGTTGATTGAGTGAATGTAAAAAAATTGCCAATTTTATGTTTGTAATACTGTTCACATGAACCGATAATTTACAGCTGATTTATGGTAAAACGATTGTTAAAATTTTAATTTGCCTTTCCAATATACCTTATCAAAACATATTAGGTGGCGACTATATAAAACTAAATAATTAACACTTACGAGTTATCAAATATTATTTAACAATATACAATAATTTTCTAAATACTTCCCGCGATTAAGAGAGTTAAAAAGGCTGAGGAAATTCAAAATACACACAAGTGCTACTTAGAATGGATTGTTTCGATAATTATTTTAATTTTGTGCACAATTACTTTTAAAATTACATTAAAATCAATTTTCCTTAAGCAAGAATCTAGCAATGGGTAAATATTAATCGAATAAACTTACCTTTGCTCTTGTCAATCAGACAATCTTGTTGACATCGTGTACTTCTTAGTCGCCATATATTTTTTCGTGAAAACAAACGCCGTTACGATCATGACTACCGGAAGTTGATTTTCGGAACTCTCTAGAATTTAGAGTTCCGAGAGTAAAATTGAAATGCAAAACACGGTCTGTGCATAGAAACAACTTTTTTAGATACTTTTTTGGACAAATCGTCGTGTCCAAGTTTTGTTGGGTACTAACCGGCAAATACCCAGTTGAGGTGTTTTAAGCACATTTAGCGACACTTCTTATTGGGTATACCCAATAAGCAAAAAGTACCCAATAAGTACAAAATGAGCATGAAAAATACCCAATAAATGCACTCTCGGAAACACGGACGGACAGACGGACGGACGACGGCTCAGGTGAGCTAAAAATGTCACAGATTTTGCAATTTAAGTAAAACTTATTTGAATATAGAACACATTGTAAAAAATGTGAATTTACCACAATACTAATAAGTAAGATTCATCTATATTAAGTTTTATTTAACATAAACTCTTTGCAGTGATCAGTGGACCCGTTGATGGACCTGGAGTTTGCAAGGATAACAGGTTTACATTTTACAAATTTGTTGTAGATGTCATGTCCAGTGAATTTTATTGAATTAAAATAACTATTCATGTCATTCTACGTTCATATGTAGAGAAAATCTGAGATGTTGCACAAATTATCAACAAAACGGTTTTGACTGCAAACGTAAGTTGACTACTTTAAATAAATAAAAAAAGTAATTTTATGTAACTTAATACAATTACATATTATGCATTTTGTTTACCGGTAATTCAAGTGTAGTTGGCATTTTGAAAAGGGGTGAAGTTTTTGTGCATAGTCTGCACTTTCTGCGACAAGGGATCTTAAAATACACCTTATCATCTGAAAATAAAAAAAACAAACTGGCTCCAGGTCCCGCAGTGGTACTATAACCAACAACAGAAATGATCAACTTTTTTTTGCAATTCTAAAGCAAAAGTTCAAATCACTGGGCAACAGATGCAACTTAAAAGAAAAAAAAAATAAAAATAACGGATATCAATCAATCTCGTTAATCCAATCCGCGAGTTTCGAGATTATCTCCCTTGGTGCGCTCTTTCGTTGAGGAGGGGAGTTTCGTTGCCGCGTAAACAAACAGGTGGGACAGATATTTTATACTGTGTATGTTGGATACATTGCATCATCGATATACCAGTTTATCATAACTACACGATTGTCAGGATGCACTCTACAACTTGAGAATAACCGAATTAAAGTAAAGGCATCATTTTTTACAGCAAAAAAATTCGAAACAAAAAAAGAAAATATCAGTGGATATGAGACTTTTCGGACGAGGGAAGAGATATGGACCTCCAATAAATACGGTACACATGCATCTGATCATTGCACGTCGGAAATCTAAATAACATATTGATTCTTTTCCTTAATATAACTTAAAAACACCAACTTTTTTTAAAATGTTCGTACAATCAAGAAAATCAGTTACTTTTTACAAAGACTACGACGTTTCTTTCATTTACCCGAAAATTGATAGTAGATTTGTAAATATGCATAGTTGAGCTTGATAAAATCATCAAATGCATCACTGCTTAACATTATTATCTTTCTATAACATTTAATAAATTTTAAAAGTCATTAATATCGTTCTTTTATTTATGCACGTTTGTATACAGAGACAACCTGTCCCACCTCCATGCTGAAATGGGTACTTTTTTCGCCTCTATCGTAGGAGAGTTACAATGTCGAAACTCGCGTATCAAAAATGCATTGTGAATGGGGAAACACAGACGGACCCCTCAAATCACTTGAGGGATCAGGGGTCTAGATAGTGTAAGCATCTCACCCCGATTTTGTATTTAATAGATATGTAGATTTCATTATTGTCTAATTAAAGGTGATGAAAAATGGCATGAAGTATGTCACTTCAAATTCGATTCAAACTGTGTTTGCTTAGCGTTAATTTGAACTTCCCATCTGATAAATTATAATATTTATCGAATACCACAGGTATTTGAATGAAGCATTTGATCGATCGTTTATTTTTCTTTCTGAAGAAATGGACGTGTCATCATCTATCGTTGAACAATATACTAACTAGAAAACAACTTTGATTAGTTTGTTTATGAACATTCATAAAGCGTTTATAAACTCTATATAACTCTTGGTTCCCAAACAAATTTTTAAAAAAAATTCTGAAAAATAGCCTAGAAGAATGAACTCCAAACTTTTCCAACATTATGGAATTATATGTGCTCGCCAAAAATGTTCAATAAAAAATATTTGCATTCAGTGTGATTTTCTTTTGAAAATAATTAAAAATCTACGACGTTAAAATTTCTATAAAACACGCGATACCTTGTCAGCGTACTGTAGAATACACAGTAGAAACTATATGCATTTTCAGTCTGTAATTATAGCCACAAAATGACTCATTTCTGTGTTTTGTCCTTTAGAGGGTAATGTCCACAGCCCCTGCCTTCTTCAGAGTTTAGATATATTTTGTAAAATGCATGCTTTGGAAAATCACTTATATAAAAATCTTTGTTGGCGATACATGTGATTTATATTTTCTGAAAGAAAATTGCACTAAAAATTTATGTCGTCTACAACTTTTTAGAAGATATGGGAAAATAAACAACAATTTTTTGGTTTTTACTGCATGGAATTTCAATACTTCAGAAAGGATGAATTTTGTTTTCTTATATTTCTTCCATATTTTATAAAAATACAGGGTAAAATTTTTATTGAAACCGTACCTTGTTTTTTGAGAAAAAAATGTTTCTTGTAATTATGCATGCACAACTAAATGTTATTATCATGCAATTATCAAAATTAGACTTTTTAAAACTTCAAGATATCTTTATTCAATCATTCTTTTATCCAAGCGGTGGACTTTATTTTTTGTTTTAGAAAAAATTGATTTCTTGACGGTGCAGATATACGTACATGTATATCATCTTATAATTTTGGACACTTCAATTGTTTATATTGTTTTAAATGACGTCAGTAAATTGTCTACGATTCCTATCCGAGTAAAAATTTATAAATACAAAATTTAATACAGTAAAGTATTTTATTGTAGGTAGTTTCGCTCTGATTAAGTGCATTTTACAAATAGATTATTTGAATTATCTAGCTGAAAAGGGCGCCTTACAGACATCCACGTCATAAATGTCACAAGGAAGAACCCTAAATGTAGAATTTTACTATTTTTATGCCTAGACATAAAGGCCAAAAGGGTCACATTATTATAGCAATCTTTTTGAGAGTATAACAGAAGTAATGCTAGTCCTTTACCAGCAATTGTTTCCTCAGCTAGGTTTCCCTTTGAATTAAAAAAATCATGTTAATTTTACGGAATCATAGTTTCTGACCTATCAAGGTAGGCTCACCGAATACAGTTTTAAGTTAATATCTACAAGCGTTTGAAAAGTTTGGTAAAGCAAGACAGACCGGCATAGAGCGATAAACATTCATATATTTTCTTTTGTATTGATGGAATTCATAGGTATATAATTTGAAAGAAAATATTTTGAATTTGCTATTTGCTGTAAATTTTGCTGCCTTTCAAATTGTTGGTCGTCTATTCTTGCTTTTCCATATTATTCGTTCAAGTGTTTAAAGCTAATACACTATGATTGATGTAAAATGTCATTAAGCATAAAATGTCTAAATATTGAAAATGTAATGTTTAATATTTAATATACCTCAAGTTGCTCGATTATTTAAGGAATGAAGCTAATAAATGACGCGGTTTATAAAGCGTAAACTGCCCAAGTTATGTTATATCGTACTACATAAGTTGAAAAAATTAGCTTCATTCCTTATTATTTAATTTTAGTATAGACATTGAGACAATTTTTCCTCCGAAAAAGGCCTTTAAATAAAACAATTTTTCAAAGTAACGTCAAGCGGAGTAATACGTTTTTGACGTAACTCATTGTGACGTAGGCAAGTTATGTTATCCAAAATATCATATGTTCCTCTGAATGATTCAGCCAATGAAATAGCTTGATACAAGTGAAATTAAATTATTAAAAAATAAAATTAAAGTGTTATTTTATGGAATCTAATCCTTCATGAAACATTATGCATTTCTAAAATATGCAAATGTATGATCAAATAAGGGAGATTCAGAAAAAGTAAAAATTAGTTAGTGCATGGTTTAAAACTTAAACTAAAATATACACTATTGATGTTACAGCCTGTGAAGTAGGTACATATGGTGTAAACTGTTCAGGAGGACCCTGTCCTTATGGTTCTTATGGATTTGGCTGTTCAAAAAAGTGTTACTGTACCAGTGACCAGCAATGTGACAGGAAGACAGGATGTAGATACAATTACAGTTCTACAACCAGTAAGGATTTCAAAATATTGTAGAATAAGTACAAATGAGCAGTCACTACTGTGACAGAATGGAAGGATGTTTTTTATATGAACAAGTAAATACTACAGTTGTCAATTGTAAGAAAAACTTTTATTTCTAACTTAAATAACTACAAAGTCCATGTTTTGCACAGGGAGACCAGAAATAAATGTCAGATCAAAAAGGAAAATAAAAAGTTAGTTTAAAATATATTTTATATGATGAATTGGATTGACCAGCAGGCATAAAATATATATATATATATATATATATATATATATATATATATATATATATATATATATATATATATATATATATATATATATATGATCGTTCTTTCCATAGGTCAAAGTACAAAATAGGAAATTCACAATGGCATTATGTAAAAAGTCTTTAAATTCTTTCAGTGATAAAGGATGTATTGCGGATAAGAGATGGGTACCCTTTAATATTATAGAAAGAATGGCCATGTCCATTTCTTACTCTGGGAAACCCAACATATGTGTCCGATCAAAAAGTTAAATTTCATTCAGTAGAAAAAGAGGAATTGTGGATAAGAAATGGGTACTTCAAAGCGTAACAGGCGGACGTACAGACAGATGAACGGACAGACATCCCGATCTCTTTATACTCTCCTGCTTTTCAATTAAGCTGCGTGATCGGAAGTCCCGGGTTCGATTCTCGTTCGCGGCGCCGCGTCATACCTAAGACGTAAACATAGGTAGTGACTGTTCCTTTGCCAAGCGCGCGGCACTAGAAGTGAAAGTCACGGGTCTTTTGGAGTGCGAGTATAAGTCTAAATTGGAAGCCCTTCACCGGCATCGGTGACGTCTCCATATGAGTGAAAAATTCTCGAGAGGGACTATAAACAATATACAATTAATCAATCAATCAATTAAGCTGGGGTATAAGATAATGCAAAATCTTGGGTTTCACACTTACAGCAATGTTTAATACATTTACATACAAAAATGATATATTCATTTTGGCTTGGTCGTTGGAATTTAATTTCTCTGACATTTTGCAACCAAAAGATCTTTTTTGGAAAGGGGCCTGACAACTTATTGACTTTATATTACTCTCTGTTTCTGATTAAATCTGAGGGCTTGTACATTTGTACGTTTAACAGGTAACGCTTACTCCCCCTGGACACATGTGTTCCCACCTTGAGAGTTTCCAGGGGCCCGTGCTTTTATACTCTAATTGAATCAAAATGAAAAATCCTATAAAATTACAGTTTTATTTTTAATTTTACTTTTTGAGGAGGGGAAGTTTGAGGGTTATGTGGTTTTATCATATATCTTCTTATATTTTCTGCATTGATTTAAATATTTGTTTAGCAGATCAAGATGAAACGGGTAGAACGGTTCCATTTGGTGAAAAAGTGTTATACGTGGTCCTTGGGGTCTTCCTAGCTGCTGGAATATTTTCGACCATTATCATCATCCGTAAGAGGTACATTTTCCTCCATCCTTCTCCTACTCCTTCTTATCTTCCTATAAAATTAAAGTCTCGGTAGAACAAACACATGATTTATGAAGAATGTTTGTGAAATCAAACTTACATGAATTTCATATATCGGTATTTGAAAATCAAATATTATCTTTGTTCCTGACAAATAAAAACAACATAAAAATAATACATAAGACACAATGCGTACATTGAGCTCGAATTTAGATATATTCAATTATTCACAATTCTCCAAATTTGTAGAAAGTCGTCATATCGATAAATGAACCGAATGTCATCATTTTTTGCACAAAAGAGAAATTCAAATATTTTCATTGTTTGTTTTTCTTCAGAATGCAATCTCAAAGAGAGTCAAGGTACATTGGATCTATGTTCTTACCACAGTTTTATGAGAATCCTGTTCGTGAAAGAGGAGGAGATTCAAATGCAGACTATGAAGCTGTTGATACTCGGTCGAAAATCGAAGGAACCGGAAAAAGTCCTGTATGCAAGGATCAAGAAATTTGGAAATTGTTTGAAAGATAATTATGCTAATTTACACTTTTGTTAACAATTTAATTCGTTCAATTATGTAAATCGCACTTCACCCGAGTATACCCGATAGACCGGACGTATTTCATTCTAAAAATAATTTACAAGTATGATAATTGATTATATAAAAAAAAGAATTGGAATTGGAGAGATGGAGTTACCCACTTTTTTTTTCATATGAGAGAACAAAGCGACATGTACATGTAATATTACCGTAATAATTTTAGGGTCTTTTGGTGTGAAAAAATCAAGTATTTGTAAATAAATAAAGAAAAACGTGTTAGTGCATGCACACTTACCTAATTAAACTGCGGATTTTTGACCCACATGTAAATTCAATCGATTTCAAATTATCCATAAATTATGTAAAAAAAAAACATATTAAAACGTTAAAGAACTTATAAAACATGATAAAACACACTTGTATTTTTGCACTGAATTATATGTCGATTGAAAACGACCCCCAACATTAAGTGCTATGTAATATACATTTTATACAGAGAAGTCTCTCATTGGTGTCATTCTGCCCAAGACGTCTGAAATGTAAGAAGAGCAGCAGTTTTTAAGCTTTTGTTTTAATCATCATAATTATCAAGATACACAAATAAAGAAAACATAACACACACTGAATATCATCCTGAAACAGCCACATCAATTGATTGCAATCAAAACATTTGACCGGGAGCTGCTAATCATGTGTTGGCGAAGTCTCTGTTGTAATGAAGGTCATTAAACATGTCCAAGTTCAGGCGGTGGAAATTTTTCTCTTTATATATATCGAAATTTTGTTTATATATATCGCATTTCCTTTATATATATCCAGGTTTTGTTTATATATATCGCATTTCCTTTATATATATCGAGGTTTTCTTTATATATATCGCATTTTCTTTATATATATCGAGGTTTTCTTTATATATATCGCATTTCCTTTATATATAGAGGTTTGCTTTTATATATCGCTTTCCCTTTATATATAGAGGTTGGCACTAATGGGCTTCCGTATTACGTATATATATATATATCAATTTTTATTGTTCGTGTCGTTGGTCATATTTAGTGCTTTATATATATATATATATATATATATATATATATATATATATATATATATATATATATATATATATATATATATATATATATATATATATATATATATATATATCCAAAATGAAAAGAATTGGCACAGTGTCCGGTAAATAATATTAGAAAAAAAATGACAAGGCAACAATGTTAGTAAAACGTAAGCGCTTTCTTCATTATTTATTAGTAAAACGTAAGCGCTTTCTTCATTATTTGTTAGTAAAACGTAAGCGCTTTCTTCATTATTTGTTAGTAAAACGTAAGCGCTTTCTTCATTATTTGTTAGTAAAACGTAAGCGCTTTCTTCATTATTTTTAGTAAAACGTAAGCGCTTTCTTCATTATTTTTAGTAAAACGTAAGCGCTTTCTTCATTATTTTTAGTAAAACGTAAGCGCTTTCTTCATTATTATTATTAAAATAATGAAGAAAGCGCTTACGTTTTACTAACATTGTTGCCTTGTCATTTTTTTCTATATATATATATATATATATATATATATATATATATATATATATATATAAAGCACTAAATATGACCAACGACACGAACAATAAAAATTGTCAAATTTTCGGGACGCCCTGTCCCTTCCTCAGGACAAAGAAAAAGGTTAAAAAGTCATAAGAACAAATGAAAAAGAGAAACAAAAAACAACTATCACTACTACTTAACTACTAAACACTAAATATTTAAATACTTAGTTACATGTTGATTTGGAAATTTTTAAGAACACTATTTAAGAAAGAATCCGGACCGCTATGAAATGCGTCCGGTCTATCGGGTATACTCGGGTGAAGTGCGATTTACATAATTGAACGAATTAATTATGCTAATTAATTACGACAATCAGTAAATCGTTCATTGTTTCATTCTCTCAAAATGGCGAAACTATCCTTGATAAAGAATAATCAAAGAAAAAAAATAATATAGAAGGGGCATTTTAACATATGAATTATGATCTATCATAAATTTTAATTTGAAATGTTTTAGGACTAATTATCGGTAAAAAATAATTAATAATTAATTAACAAAGGCGTGAGCAATACATAGTTATGTGGGTTGTTCGAGAGTTGGTGACGCAAATTAACTGTAGAGTTTACACTAAATTGAGGGAATAATCTTGTTTGGTATCATCAGGAATCGGATCTAGTTTACGTTCATTCTGGTGAAGTCATTCAGTTTGTTAATACCATTGGGGCGGAATGACTTTAATCTGTGCATCCAGAACTTTTTTTTTGCTTTTTCTCTGAGCGTCTGTCCATTTTGGGTTATGGTCAATCACCACTACTGTCATGTCCTCTCATTTGTGACCCTCAAGGTTGAAATGTTCCCCAACGGGTTCATTGAGTTTTTTGGTCCTAATGGTCGAACGATGGTTATTGACTCTCCTGCGGAGATCTCCTGTTTCACCAATATACTGTTTGGAGGAAACTTTGCAACTGATGAGATAAATGCAGTTGTCAGTATAACAGGACAAATTTCCTAGTATTTTGTAGCTGCGGCCTGTAACTGGGCTGTTAAAACTATCTGTGTCAGTGCTGTGCTTACAAAGAAGCTTCTATGTTCTAAGTGAATTTTCACCATTTATATACATTTAGATGGCTTGTTTTTTGCATTTATGTTATTACCATTTCAAATCTTCCCACAATGCAGAAAAAAGATGAACATAGAGCACTTACATTTCCAAGTTCATCCAGAGTTCTTAACATTTATACTATTGACTGGGCTTATTTTGTTATTAGTAAGACTTCTGTCATGTGACTAATCAAGATGTTTTGAATATTATACGTTCATGTAAACTGGTTGAATCTGATTCGTCGAGAAACATTTGTTAAAAAACACAATTACCCACCGAATAATGAAGCCACACCCTCCAGCGTAGCAACGATCAAC